TTTAAAAATACAGATTCCTGGGTATGATTCAGTGGGTGTAGTCACCAGCCTCCAGGATGGCCACCAATGATCCCTGTCTCCTGATATTCACACATTTGTGTGGTCCTTTCCATACTGTCCCAGGGTTGGTCTGTGGTGCAAGCAACATGGCATGTTGCAGAGTGAGAGTATATCACTTCTGAGTTTACGTTATAAAAGATGGGGACCTCTGTGTTGGATGCTCGTTCACTCATTTGTTATCTCTCTCTCTCTCAGATCACTTGCTTGGGAGGAAGCCAGCTGCCACGTTGTGAGGACACTCAAGCAGTTTATGGAGAGGCTCATGTGGCAAAGAACTGAAGCCTTCCACCAACAGGCAGGGTGCAACTGAGGCCTCCTGCCCTCTGCCATGTGAGGGAACCACACAGCCCCAGTCAAACCTTCAGATGGCTGAAGCCCTGGCCATCAGCTTGACTGCAGCCTCAGGAGAGACTCTGAGCCAGGATCCCCCAGCTAAGCTGCTCCCAGATAGATTCCTGACTCTCAGGAAGGCTGTGTGATAATAAATGTCTGCTGTTTTAAGCTGTTAAATTTTGAGCAATTTGTTACAGAGCAATAGATAACTAATATAGTGGACCTAGGGTGAGATCCAGAAAGCTGTAGATTGAAAAGCTTCCTAGGCAGTTCTGATGCATAGCCAAGGTTCAGTGCCACAGGCTTAGTGACTTATCTGTTGGCAGTTTTCTGAGGACAAAGCTGGTTCAAAGTGGTGTGTGTGTGTGTGTGTGTGTGTGTGTGTGAATATCGAAGCCCTTCCACTGTGTGGATCCAGACTGAAAATGGAGACGAGGGTGAAGACCTCCACCTTAGCACCCTCTAAGAGCTTATGTCACACACAGGCCCTGCAGAACCAAGAATACTTGCTGATTGACCATTCCTTGAAGAAATATGAAACCTCAATGGGACCCTAGTCGGATGATTTTCAAAATTTGTTTAGTAGTGGAACCATTTCTTCAAATGAAACCATCTGTAGAAGACTGATTTAGAGATACCGGCAGTGGCCGGCCCTGTGGCTTGGTGGTTAAGTGCGCGCGCTGCGATGCTGGTGGCCCGGGTTCGGATCCCGGGTGCGCATCGAGGCACCACTTCTCCGTTCATCCTGAGGCCGAGTCCCACATACAGCAACTAGAAGGATGTGCAGCTACGACACACAACTATCCACTGGGGCTTTGGGGGGAAAAATAAAATAAATAAAATCTTTAAAAAAAAAAAAAAAAAGAGATACCGGCAGAGCAATTCTGGGTGAGCTCGAGAGGGGACCCCCTGAGCTTGCTTCTTCAGTCTCCCTATCCTCACCCCCAGCAGCACCCCTGAGGCACCACTGGGAAACCCCAAGGGCTTCATGGTTTGCAAACCTCTGATCTAGTCCAACTGTGTCATTTTCCTGATGAGTAAACCGAGGCCCCCTGAGGGGAGGTCACAGGACACATCTGTGGCAGACATCCAGAACGGGATTCTCCCGACCTCCAGTCCAATCTTTCTGCACCCCCTGGGAAGCCACTTAGGGAAAGTGCACAGGTTGGGGATGGGGCACAGGAAATTGTTCCCTCTCCCAGCTCCTAACAAAGGGGGACCCATAGCCTGGTCCCCTATCAGAGGGTGGGGCACCTGCTATGTGCCCGGCATTGTTCTCAGTGCTTCACACGAAGTCATGAACTCCATCTTCTTAACAATCCCATGAAGTGGATGCTGTTATTGTCCTATTTTACAGAGGAGGAAACTGAGGCAGAGTGAGTAAGTAGCTAGCCCTACCCCTTGGCTAGTCAGTAGTGGGGCCAGGATTCCAGGGGCTCCATGTCTGGGGTCCTGACACCAAGTCCTGAACCCCTGAACTCTGTGGCCTCCCCCCCAGCCAGGGGCTCAGCTCTCGTTTCCCCTCTGAGCAGGAAAGAGAGGTCCCCTGCTCTGCTCCCCCAGGAGCTCGGAGATGGTCACCAAACAGGAAAAGTGGTCAGACCTGTTACTTTTACAGCCAGGATGCCCCAGGGCTTCTAGCTCAAAGGCCACCGAAGGGTCAACATCTCACCTAGGGCAGGGGGATCTTGTTCCTCACCAGACCGGTGTCTCTCAAATGTATTTTTTCTATCAATAATGAATGCTGTAGGCATTTAGGAATGGAGAGATAAATGGTCATTTCTGTATACTTTACCCTTTTATCTTCTGCACTAGGGCTAGCTTTACATTAGCTGTGATAATATAACACAGATCCAGCCCAACGGGTATTTCTTGGGCTGATACTCTGTGGCTTTGATACGGTGTGCCTTACACACCATGGCTGAAGCCCTATTGATGCTTTTTTTCTCTCAAATTTACAGGAAAGTTGCAAGAACAATACAGAGAACTCCCCTCCCCTCCTCACTCAGATTCTCCGACTGCTAATACTTCACCACCTTTGTTCCTCTCTCCATCTATGTATCTCCAAACCCAAGATCTTTTTCTTTTTCTAAACCATTTGAGGGCAAGCTGCAGACATGAGGCCCCATGTCCCTCAAATGTTCTCCTGTGTATTTCTCAAAAACAAGGACACTCTCCTACATAACATGACACAGCTCTTCAAGTCAGGACACTGGCATCCAAGCAACACTACTGGCCCACCTAGATCCCATTCACACTCTCCGACAGTCCAAGGTCTCTGTTTCTTTCTAGTCCCGGATCTCAGCAAGAAACACAGGTTGCATTCACTCATCTGCCTCTTCAGTCCCCTCCAATCTGGAAGATTTCTTGGTCTTTCCCTGTCTTTCATGTCTAAGTCGTTTTAGAGAACAGTCCTTACATTTGCTTCCTTGTGACCAGACTCAGGCCATACTTTCTCGGCAGGAAAACCCCAGAAATGATGTTGGGTTTTCGCCCGGCAGCACATCAGGGGCATGTGGCATCCACCCATCCCACCGCTGATGATGTGCACCTTGATCACCTGGTCAGGTTGGACCCTGCTGGGTTCCTCCACCAGACAGTCACCACATCTCCCTCTGTAAGGTGGGGAGCCCGCCATGTGCCCCAGGCTGGTCCTGAAGAGAGCTTCCAGTCTGCCCACAGGGAGAGAGTCTACACAGAGCCCCATGGTCTCAATGAGTTAAGCAGACAGAGTGCAAAATGCAGGGAGTCCGAGGCAACCAGAATTTGTGAGGCAGAGGCCCAGAGAGGAGAGAGTTGCACAGAGAGAGGAATCCACAAATCTGCAGACCCTTGAGTCTTTGGCTGAGCACTAATTTGCACGTGTGTGAGGAAACTTCCAGGGCCGGCCAAAAGCTACCGAAGGGAAAAGGTGGAACAACTCCCTGAGATCACATGGGGCTGCAGACAGTTTGTGTTCCTGGCAGACAGGGTGGAAACACCTCCTAGTGCATAGGGCATTGGGCAGCAACCTCAGAAGGTACTGACTCAGCAGTGGAGAAAACGTTCCCTAAAGGCTTCTCATCTAACAAAGCTTAAAAAGCAAGCCTTGAAATGACCAAACTATTTTGAAATAACTGTGTTTCAGAACAAAGCCCAAAATATTTAAACGAATACAAAAAAAAAAAAAAAATCCAACACCCAACAATGTAAAATTCCTAATATCTTCCATCTAACATAAAATTACCAGACATGCAAAGAAAAATACGGCCCATACCCAGGAGAAAAATCAATTAATAGAAACAGGCTCTGAAATGACATGGATAACAGAATTAAAACAGCTATTATAAATATATTTCGTATGCCCAAGATAGGAGCAAGTATGAGCAGGAAGAGGAGAGAAATGGAAGATACAGAAAAAAAAAGATCCATACTGAACTTCTAGCTATGAACAATACAATATTTGAAATGAGAAATATACTGGAGAGGATTAACAGTAGATTAGACACTGCAGAAAAAAAAACTAGTGAACTTGAAGACACAGCAATAGAACTATCCAAAATGAAACACAGAGAGAAAAAAGACTTTAAAAAAATAAGCAGGGCTTTGGTGATCCATGGGAAAATACGAAGCAGCATACAGATCATTGGAATCCCAGTGGTGGTGAGTGTGGGTGGACAAAGGCTGAAAATTTTCCAAATGTCATGAAAACTATAAACCTACAGATCCAAGAAGCTCAATAAACCCAAGTGGAAGAAACACAAGGGAAAATCAACCCAAAGCACATCCTAATCAGATTGCTGAGGCCATGACTGTACATTCTGTTGTCTCTCATTAATGGGCCCGAGGCATGCACACTGAACCAGGTGGGAAAGGCACAAAGGGAGCAGGAAGAGAAGAATGGATGTAGGTGAAATAGCAAGAGAGACTCAGAAGAGAGGAGAGGGTGGTGCGTGAGGTGGCGGCAGGTCACCGGCAGGGCAGGCTCAGTCACCAGGAGCGTCTGCTGCTCTCACTCCCCTGCAGCAGACCCAACCGCCTCCCTGGAAGCAGCTGGATTTCTACTGTTTTTGCCCAAAGACCAGCACCAGAAGCATCTAGAGACTCAGATTCACCGTCTCTTTGCCGAGCAAATCCTCTCGTCCCATAGGCTGGCCCGATTCAGGGAAAGGAGCCAAATCAATGACAAAATCAGCAAGCAAAGCAGACACAGACACGTGGAGGCTGGTGGGACAGCCTCACTTTTCAAAGGCCTGAAAATGGCTCTGACCACCTTAGCCCTGTCAGTCCCCCGGGAACACACTGCAGGACGCCTCACCTGCAGAGACTTCAGGTCAAGGGACAAAAACTTCCAAGTGCGCTGAGCTGCCATGGCACGGCCCATTTCATCTCTGGGGGACGTCAGGCCCACCACCAGTGCCCGCAGCACAGCTGAGAGAGGGCTGCCACGTGCACTTCACAGTGGGATGCCCTGGATCCTGGAAGGTTCCCATCCCTGCCCACCTAACGGTGCAGTACCCTGGTTATGCTCTGCTGGAGCATGGGGCCAGCGGAGCACTTACGCCCTGCCAAGGCCCAGGATCACGACCTGGGGTGGGAAGTGTTGGGGATTCTGCACCTGCACCTACCTGCCAGGCCGGGAGGACCTTCTCGATGTCATTCAGGTTGATCCCATCCCCATCTTCCAGCTTCCCTTTTCCACACCTGGACCAGAAAAGACAGAGAGGTGTTGAAAGATTGGTGCACTCATGCATCCTCTCCTGGTCCAGCAAGCAGAAAGAGCAGGGATGCTCAGGAGATACCTGGTCCTGCCCTCCCTGAAGGCCTGCCGAACCAGCCTGTCCCACCCAGAGAAAACGGCCCAGAGAAGAGTGTCCTCCTCCAGGCCTGGCAACACAGGCCCTTCCTCAAGGACAAAGGACCTCGTGCAAGTGGGAATGCTGGGACCAGCCTGGGGGCATGGGGCACTAATGCGATATCCAACCCTTAGGGAGGTGAGAAAGGTACCTTACTCCCCCTGAGCCTTCCAGGCAAAGATACTAAGCTCCATGCTGGTGAACACCCCAAAGCCTGTCACAGATCCTGCAAAAGCCCGTCGTCTTGCCCCATTACACCAAAGGGAAAATGAATGAACAGAGAGACCAATCAACTTTCTTGAGGCCACACAGGCCCCAAATGGGGCTTCCTTTCTCCTTAGCCTGACTTTGGGCCAGTCCAACAAGCCCACTCAGATAATGATGTCTTCTCTTCATGTCCTCTGTGGCCGGGTGCACCCTCAGGCCAGAGACGCCGGCCCGGATTCACTGGCAAAGGTCCACGTCTTCTGCATATTTAAAGGTGCAGACTCTGGAACCAGACTGCTGGGTTGGAACCCCAGCTGCATCCCTTACTAACTGGGTGATCCCGTGCTAGTCACTTAACCTCTCTGGACCTCAATTTTCTCATCTGTAAAGTGGGGATAATTAATAGTGCCCAACATCGTAGGTCGCTGCAGGATTAAATTAAAGTATCTAAGTGCTTAGAACCACAGCCAGCATATACAGACATATATACCTTTATATATACATTAAATATACCTTTTAATGGTATAATATCATAAATGGTAAATATATTATCATGGTAAATACAGGTAATAAATAAAATCATAAAAAATAATAAGGTAAATAAATGTATTATTACTGCAAAGACGACTTCTACTGCCATTACTATTACTGTTGTTGTCGTTGTTGTTCTTGGGGAACAGCAGCAGTGCAGTGATTGGCTAAGAGCACAGACTCTGGAGCCAACCCAGCCCCACGCAAGTCACTAATTCTTCCTGGGTCTCCTAGTTTCCTCATCTGTCGAAGTAAAGGTAACAATAGTGACTACCTCCCTAGGTTGCGGTGAAGATTAAATAATATGAGGCAAGCACTTGGAGCGGGGCGTGGCGCGTGGCCAGGGCACAGGGCGCATTAGTTCCAGCAGCATTATTGTTATTATTGTTGACAGAGGTACGGTGAGGGATACTGGGCGGGTGAGTGGCAGCATTTCCAGCTGCGGAGTTAATGCAACGGTCAAATTTTAGAGTAATTAGTTTATTGGTTCAATATTTGCCAAGCATCTCTTGTGTTTTGGGCCCTTTCAACCTCCCTTGGAGCCACGGAAAATAAACCCCGCGCGGTTCCTGTCCTCTGACGGCTCATCGCTCTTAGGAAACGAGTCCAGAGCTCCTCGAACAGGGCGGCTCTCCTGGGCACCAGTAGGGGGCAGCATGAGATAAGTGTGATGAAAGTCCTACCGCCGGAGGCGTCCTGGAACCCGAGGAAGAGAAACCATGCGGTTGCAAACCCAGCAAGGCTTGGGTGGAAGAGGGCGCAGGGATACGATCTATGTGCTCACTCAACAAGCGCTTCTGTGCGGGCTCCGCTGGGGCTGGGCCTCAGTGTAGACAATGCGCAGACCGGGCCCTGCTCTGCCCTCCGTGCCACAGCGCAGTGGGAGTGCGCGGTCAGGGGCAAGAGGTGGGTACAAGAACAGAGGAGCAGCGGTCTGGGGCTAGGGGAGGGAGGGGAGGCGTGAGCCGGCCAAGCAGACTCTGGGAGGATGCCCCAGGCAGAGGGCAGCGGGGCAAAGGGCTGGAGCTAAGAACGTCAGCGTTCACGTGGCTGGAGTGGAGTGGGGTGGGGTGGGTGCCAGGGGGTGGGCAAAGGGCCAACAGGGCGCTGGAGGTCAGCTCGGGTTCTGGTAAGTGGAGCTGGGGTGGGAGGGGTGTAAGGAGGGAAAAAAGGAGAGTTTTGCCCCCTCCTCCCCACTAGGGCCTGGTGATGTGCTGGGCTGCAAATGACGAGGTGGAGAAAGGTCTGGAAACAAATCTGCCGGGTAGAGACAGGCTGGCCCGTGAAGGCACCAACTGCTCGCAGTCATCTGTTTTGTATGTGCCATGGCAGTGGGGGAGGAGGGAACTGGAGACTCTTGGCTGACTGCCACGGCTGACACCCCCTCCCCCAGGTCACGTGTGGCTGTCACACACCTCTGGACTCCCCGGCGTGCACCAGCCCAGCCTCGCACACGCATGGCCTTTCACTGTCCCCTCAGCAGCCCCCGGGGTCTGCAGTGAGCGGTGTGCAGGGAGGGCTTGCTGTCCCCCTAGGCCTGCCCAGTCTGGGGCTCAGAACCCCCTGGAGGACTGCGGGTTCAGGGGGCAGAAGGTTGCTGTAGACCAGCTGAGTCACAGCTGCCAACACGGTTTCCAAGGCAACAGCCTCTCCGAGTTCTGTCCCTCCATGGAAACACAGGCTGTGGGAAGCCTTGGCAACTGAGTGATGCCCTGCTTCCGAGGGATGCAGCAGCTGGGCACATGGAGCTTGTCCCCAGGGCACAGGACTCTAAGAGGGACACAGTTCCTGGCCCAGCCACAAGGTGGCCGCAGGATGCTGTGCCCAGACTCCCCCCAGGAACCCGGCAGAGGCAGGATTTGGCCAGAGAGCCAGATGTCTGTAGGAGACCCCAGGTGACTGTCAGCACATCTAGCAGGCTCCTGCGAGTGGTGAGCCTGGCCTGCAGCTGGCAAGCAAGTGTGGCCGGTTCCTCTGGCTTCAGAAGGGCCTGCAGCACGAGGGGAATCTTTCCTTCCTGGATAGTCACCTATCGCTGCTGCTGCCAAATAGTATGTTGTTACGATGTTAATTTGTGAACTGGTGCAGACCCTTTCACAAACCTCGACTTCACGCATTCTCCATCTGACTCCTTCAGGTCGTGAGGCAGCGCCATCACTTCTATCCTCTGGGCCTCAGTTTCCCCACTGGTTGTACCATCTACGTGCTCCCAGGGGACACAGGAGCACAGGAGCTTCCCAGTGAAGTGCCTTCTCTCTCCCGAAGCTTTCCTAGACAGTTCATCCCCCAAAAGTGCTCTCTTCTCACCCACTTTGCATTTGCTTTATTTAACCGCCCACCCGGTGGCTTATTTTATACTGTGTATTCTCTAAATGTCTATACCACAAAACTGAGTCTTTTTTTTTCCTACACAGTCTCAATCATCAATGGGTTCACGTCTCATTTTGACAGAGAGCAAACAGTCCTTCTGGGCAGACCATATTTTATACTCTGTGTGTGTGTGTGTGTGTGTGTGTGTGTGTGTGTGTGTGTGTTCCTCACAGGACCGAGCACCATGCAGGGACCCAGCAGGCCTAGTGACTGGGCTTCAGAAGTGCAAAATGCTCCTCCCGTTCCTGGTGCATACCCCGAGCTCCCACAACAGGGCAGATGGGAAGCACCACCTCTGCTGAAAACCTGCTCCTGATCTTGACCTGTTAAGGAAAGGTGAGTTTCCTGAACTCAGAAGTGTGGAGGGCACAGCCCTGTGCAGCTTAGCAGCTCAGGAGGGAAGTGGCCTCACGGCTGTGGGGTGAGGGGTTGAGCCTGCAGTGAGTGGTGGACGGTGTGAGGTAGGGCCAGAGGAGCCTCGTGGCTGGGCCTCCGCTGTGCTCTGTCTCCTTCTATCAGGGTGCCTCCACGCTCAAGGCCATCTCCCTCTCCACCCAGAGGAAAACTATCCCAAGAGTTCTGAGGGAACCCACACAGGCAGGACAATGAAAATAGGAGGTGTGGTGAGAGGCTGGGGTACCCTGAGGGAGTCTGATGTGAGTGATGGGCCTCTCCCCCAAAAAATATACACCTGCACACACTTTTGCATAAAATTTGAAGGGGGCTAAGCCAATTAAGGATACTCTGCTGTCATGACCTGGGCACTGGATGGCATTAGAAGGCCTTAAATCTTGGCTCTGTGACTTGGGCACAATACTTTGCCTCTTTGAGCTTCATTTCTCTCCTGTCTGAAATAGAGATGAGAATATTCCCTCCCAGTTTGTTGCTCATTACCCTGCAGGGAAACCCGTGTTGCCAAGAGAAGGGGGTGGCCACTAGGGGTGGAGTGTGGCAGAGTGGCAGTGAGGGGACAGGTGAGATGCAGGAAAGTGGCCCATAATACCAGTTATGTGTAGATCTGAAGTGACAGGGAGATAAGAATGGGTGTGGAAGGATTGGAAAAATAAAAGCCATGCGTACAATTAAAAAAAGAAAAAAAAAAAGGAAAATAACAAGTATTGGCAAAGATGTGGAGAAATCAGAACCCTTGTATATTGCTGGTGGGAATGTAAAATATTCAGCTGCTGTGAAAAACAGTTTGGCAGTTCCTTAAAAAGTTAAAACATAGAATCACCAAGTGTGATTTTTTAGTAAGATATGTTTGGTCTCTGTCCCCAGTCCTGGCACAGAGCTCCTAAAATCCTTGGAATTTCTTAAGTGAAGAAAGTGATAAAGGTGTCTTTTGTTACGTTAATGAGGTGACTTTTGGAAAGCCCCTAGGTAACCTGAGGGTGGGGGGAGAGGGGCTGGAGATTGAATCAATTGCCAATGGCCAAGGATTTAATGAATCATGCCTATGTAATGCAGCTTCCATAAAAACCCGAAAGGATGAGTCCGGAGAGCTTCCTGGTTGGTGAACTAGTGGAGATTCAGGGAGAGTGGTGAGTTTGGAGAAGCTCTGTGTCCTTTGCCTATATCTTGCCCTATGCATCTCTTCCATCTGGCTCTATATCCTTTTATAACAAACTGGTGATCTGATGAGTAAAATGTTTTCCTGAGTTCTCTAGCACTCGAGAGCACTCTAGCAAATTAACTGAACCCAAGGAGGGGCTTGTTGGATAGCCAGTCAGTCAGAAGCACAGGTGACAACCTGGACTCTGACTGGCACCTGAAGTGGAGGTGGGGGCAGTCTTGTAGGACTGAGCCCTTAACCTGTGGGATCTGATGCTATGTCTAGGCAGATAGTGTCAGAATTGAGTTGAACTGTAGGACATCCAGCTGGTGTCAAAAAATTGCTTGGTGGTGTTGGGGAAAAAAACACAAACGGGAATTGGTATCAGAATTGGACCGTGTGACCCAGCAATTCCACTCCCAGGCATAGAGCCCAAAAGAACTGAAAACAGGGACTGAAACAAATACTTATACATGAATGTTCATAGCAGCACTATTCACAGTAGCCAAAAGGTGGAAACAACCCAAATATCCATCAGCAGATGAATGGACAAACAAGTGGTGGTATATCCATATGATGGAATATTATTCAGTCATGAAAAGGAATGAAGTACTGATACACGCTACAGCATGGATGAACCTCAAATATATTATACTGAATGAAAGAAGCCAGAGACAAAAGACCACATAGGATTCCATATATATACATATCCAGAATAAGTAAATTCATAGAAACAGAAAGCAGACTTGTGGTTGCCAGGGGTAGGAGGGAATGGGGAGTTACTGCTTAAGGGGTATAGGTTTTATATTGGGGTGTTGAAAATGTTTTGCAACTAGATAGAGGTGGTGGTTACACAGTATTATGAATGTACTAAATACCACTGAATTGAACACCTTAAAATTGTTAATTTGTTTAACTTTATGTTATGTGAATTTTACCTCAATAAAAATTATTTAAAAAAGGAAAGAAAAGAAACCATCTGTCCCACACCCCATGTCCAGCTGAAGTCACATTCCTATCTGAGGTCAGCCAAGGCCCTAGCACTGTCTTTAGAAGGGGAAGGCAGCATTGACACATGAAGTAGGCAGAGGTGACACAACCTCAGTAAAATCAGCCACTACACCAGTGGTTCTCAAAGTGGGGTCCCTGGACCAGCAGCATCAGCATCCCTAAGAACTTGTTAGAAATGCACATTCCCAGGCCACACCCCAGACCTCCTGAATCAGAGGTTCTGGGGGTGGACCCAGAGACCTGTGTTTTAACAAGCCCCCAGGTGGTTCTGATCAAGTGTGAGACCCGCTGCACCAGACTACTGACAAGCAGGGCCACTGTGAGTGGTCAGAAAGGGGTGCGGGCAGTGTGGCTGGAGGCAGCTGGGCAGTGAAGGGTGGAGGGAGGCCAGTGAGCCTGCAGGTCTGGGGCGATGAGCCTCTCCCGACATCAGCCACCTGTGTGTCCCCAGTGCAGCAGGGATACCTGCCTGCCGGGGAAAGGCCCCTCCCTGCTCTTATATAGCCACAGCTGGCCTCCACCTCACCCCACCTCTATGTAAGAGTCCCCCGAGTCGTCCCTTACCCTTCACGGTCGATGTGTGGCAGGGGCTGCTTGGGCGTGTGTCGCAGCTTCCTGTGGAACTGGGTGAAGTCCAGCTTTTCGGGCTGCAGGTCCCAGGTGGCACCACTAGAGGGCGAGGGAAGGCGAGAAACAGGAGGAAAGGGGGTGACAAGCCATTACTGATGGGGACGAGAACTTTGGGGCACAACCAGGGAGGGCACCCACTGGCCAAAGGCAGGGGTTGGGCAGGGACCCCTCACTCAGAATGGAGCCCTAGGTGTCAGCTCTGTGCCCACAGACGACGAGGCAGAGGGCTGCCTGAGAAGCCCTCCCCTCCCCTCAACCCTGCTGTGCGGTTGTGCACGCCTGCAGAACACACGTGTGGGCCTGGTGCCCACTCTACAGCAGTCCCCCTCGAACACGTGAGAGTTTGTTTTCACACCTACGTTTGAGAAAGGCCAGAGAGAGAAAGGAGGCCAAAAACCTGTCATTAGAGCCTTGACTGCAGCTCAAAATGGGGACAAGGCAGCTCTGAGGTACAGAAGGCAAGTCAGTGGAGAAGCAGGAGGCCAAGGTCCAGTCCCAGGAGACCCACGGCGCTTCCATGCTGGGCGAGCCCGGGACAGGGGTGTGTCTGGAGGACGCCCCAAGGTGGCAGCTCCAGGGCCGGGGCAGAGTGGAGCTAAAGGGCCACCGCCATGCATGGCCCGAGGCCGTCACTCCCCAGAGGAGTGGTCACCAGGGCAGGAGACCATTAGCTCACCCTTCAGGGGCACCGTCCCCACATCCTGAGGAACCCTGGCCAATGCCTGTCCTTCCAACCTGGCCCATCAGGAACCTTCTAGAGTCTGAGCCACTGACAATCCTTCCTTTCCTCCAGACCTCTCTGCAGCCAGCACCACCACCCCCTCCATAACATCGGGTGGGAAGGGTGGGGTCTATCCATCCTGGGGATAACCCAGGGAGCCTGACGCCCCCACGTGTCATTCTCCTTTGCTCTTCCTTCTCCCCAGCCCTGCCCTCTGCTCTCTCTCCCTCTCCCTGTGGTTGGACTGTCGGCTTCTGTCTTCCCTCTCCCCTCAACCCTCATTTCTCTCTGCCTCCTCATCCCTTCTCGTTCTCTCTTTCCCATGGATCCTCTCCTAGTTTTCCTTCCTTTGTTCTCCTCTCTCATCTCTCCGACCTCCTTCCTCTCCAGTCTCACCCTCTCTGCCTCATCCCCTCTCTCTCGTCGTTTCTCTCCACTTCCTGATCAGTGAACTCTCAACATTTACTCAGCCCCCAAAGACCCTGCAGGGCAAAGGGACAAGGAAGCTGAGGTCCCTGCCGGAGCCACACACCACAGACGAGAGGAGGCGGGGCTTACCTGAAGGAATCAAAGGCGTTGGCGGCCCAGATATCCGTGCCCAGCATGTCCAGCGAGTTGTCCTTGCTGCCGTTCTGGAAGAGGTGGGGGACGAAAGGGTGGCATTATTTGCTCGGCCAGGACACTGAGAACAAGCGGTGGAAGGCCTCCCCAAAGCCCAATGCCAGGGAGGGCTGCAGAGGCCCTCCCTGTCCCCCTCTGTCGGCCATCCTGGGCAGGAGTGAGCGTCCTGGCTGGTGCACTCAGTAAGAGTCGAGAGTACTCGGCCTCCCCCCGGGCATGGGCTCTTGCTTCCATGGTGTTTGACAGAGCTGTGCGGTCAGGTACAGAGATCGTCTGGGTCTCTGCTGCCCCCAGCCCATGGCTCTCTCCTCAAAGCCTCCACAATGACGAGCCACCATGATTGCCAGCCTGATGGCAGTGGCTGCTGCCCAGGCAGGGGCTCTGCAGAGGCAGGCACACTGGAGGCTCCATGTCAGGGGGGTTGACTTCCTTAGGAGTTAAGCCCCACTCGCCCAAATCAGGCAGCACCAAGAAGCCCCCATTGACCAGGGCTACACCAGCCACTGAATTTCTCCAAGTCCACCTGCTCCAGTCTCCATCCTCTGATGTTTCCTACATGATCCATCCCATAGACAGAAAATGCTTTACTTGATCCAGCTCCCAAGATTTGGCTTCTCTGCTCCTTGGCTGATGATGGCTGCAACAAGATCTCCAGCTCCCTGCCTTCACTCCTGATGCCATGCGTCCCTCGTTACCCCGAGAGTCTGCCTTCCACCACCACACTCTAAAAACACAACTTCCGCCTCCGCTACAGCTGAATGTGTGCCTGCCGTATGACCCAGGACTTCACTGCCAGGTATAAACACAACTGAAACGTGACAGATGTTCACCAATGGTACATAGCGCAGAGGTACAGAGCATGATAGCTACTCATGATAGCTTCAAACTGGAAACCACTCAATGCCTACCAACAGTTGAGCAGACAAACAAATCGCGTATGTTCACATACTGGAATATCACACAGCAGCGAGAACAAACAAATTAGAACAACACACAACAGCATAAATAAATCCCACAAACATAAAGTGGAACAAAAGAATCCATGGTTCATCCATGACCCCAGCTGAGTTTTAAGCTCCTAGATGGCTACCTTCTCTTCTTGTGCCCCTACAGTGGCCAAGCTGGGCACACAGTAGGTCTACCTCAGATGCCTGCTGACTGCTTAAATAGACTCTACCCTGTAGGTGGAGGAGGGGCAAGCCTGCTGCCTTTGTGTCTGAAAGATTGATTCACAGATTAGAATGTAAGATCGATTTACCATCCTAGGATTCGAGGAGGGACGTAGGGTGGTGAGAGAGAGAACAAGCATAAAAAGGGACAAGAATGTCACAGTGAAACCCAGGAGTGCAAAGCATCTCACAGGGACGAGTGTGATTCCCTTGAAGGCAGCTCGAGGGCCCTGCGGAGCACAGGAACCTCCCTCCTGGGCTGTTCACCATCAGCCCCTGTGCAGTGGGTCAAGGCCCCTCGCAGACGGCTGGCAGGAACGCCACAGCCAGGAAGTGGGGGCGCTACCCTCAGGCTAAGAGGGCACCTGGGCATCTCAGACTCGGGCTCCAGCCTCTTCTGAAGCAGCATCGCTGGCAGGGGGACCTACCAGCCTCTGGACCTCCTGGGGTCCAAGGCAAGGGCCCCTGGCTGATGGGTGGGGAAGAGTGACAGAGCAGAAGTCGTTGGAGGAGACGCCCCTGGCGTTTGCCACACGTGTTTATACTCTCCAAAGGAAGGCCACCTCTCCGTGCATATGCAGGTCACCCCCGATGTGCCGTTACCATCTGTGATTTGAGGAGAGAAACCAAAGCTCAGGGAGGGAGGTCTTGAGAACCAGCTGGTGACTGGCAGAGCCAAAATGCCGACCAGGGCTCTTTCAAGAGCCACAGCAGCGGCGACCAGACACGTCTATTTTTTCAATGCTTCATAGTTTATACACTCTCGCCACACATTTTTCTCCCTGAATCCCTACAACTGTCGCCCCTCCTTACAGCAACCCGGAGAACATATTCCTGAGCTGTTGTAGATAACCTGAATCATATTTGAAATGCCAGAAAACTCAGAGATATCTGCCGATCCCAACGTATACCTTGTTCCTCAAACCTCCACCCTCCTCATCAGCTCAACCTCCCGGCTCCTGTGACTGCCCCAGCATCTCCATCACCCAGGTCAGAAGCCTCCACAAACGTGCTTCTCCCCCAGCATGGCCCTACCCCTGGGGCCCCTCCGCGCTGGTTCTCAGCTCTCCGTTTCCAGAGGGTTAGGTCTCATTACTTCTCACAGTGACCTACCTCATGCCTCCATTCCTTCCCCCCCGACAACACAGCTCTGACTCTCAGAGCTGAGGAACAGAAGTGCCAGGAAGGGAGCCCTCTACAGACCAAGGCAGTGGAACCTCGTCTTTGCACAGCCGAGGGATGCCCTGGGGAAACGCCTCCAGGGAAGAATAATGTGGACAGCACCCTGGAGCTGTGCAACTCAGCAGCCCTGGAGGAGGTGACATCCCTGGCAAGAATAAGGACCCTCGGCCACTGAACAGGACATGCGAGGGCTGCGGCAAGCCAGCCTCTCTGTGCTGGATATACCAGGAAGGTAGCCCCCGTTAAGGCTGGTGTCCTAACAGGTGAGAGGACAAGTCTCTGCAGATGCTCACAATGAAAATCTTGTCACAGGGGATGACCTATTTATTGTCACTCTATTTGACACAATCACTGCAGCACATGACAAGAATCTGGACATTTCCTCAGAGTTTGTTGCAATGAAATGTGACAGGCATATAATCATGGCAGACAAACTTTTATCAACGGGGGCTGGAGAAATAGCCGGCACTGGGAAACAAAATCTATCTCCTCTAAGTCTCAGCCCAGAGAGGGGAGAAGCTCACCTGTAGGGCCTTCCTTATTGATGTCCCTTGTCGATGCCGAGGTGGTGGCCCAGGCAGTGCCCAGAGGGGCCAGGCCTCACTCAGCAGAGTGACTGACTCTAAACTGGACAACCAGGAACCCAATAGCCTCCCACGCCCATCCCCAGGGCCCGCTAGCCCTGGGCTGACAGCATCCAAGCCGACCACGGGGCCACCCTACCACGTGGCTTCAGATCCCACCAAAGCCCTGGAAGCCGTAAAAGTACCTGGATATTCCTTCTTTCTTGAGTTCTGGACCCTCAAACCCTGCGACCCCCAACACACACACACACACACACACACACACACACACACACACGTCACCTGTTCCACAAACCCTCTTAGTGTCCAGAGAGGTCAGGGAAGCCAGAGGGGCAGGAGCCTGCAGACAGATGGACCCACAGACAGGCAGACTGCAATCTGATTTCTGGAACTTCACACCAGGAGCCAGACCCACCTCACTCTCCAAACCACTCCCAGCCCTTACTCACACTGAGGACCCACAGGAGAGGTGAGGACAGAGAAGAAGGTGACCAAGGCTCGGCTTGTTCCCAGGTACCCCTGCCCTCTCGAGCCCCAGTCTTCAGCTGCAGGGACCTTGGCTTCCTCGGCACACTAGTAATGCATGATGCTAGTGTTCACACCATGTGTGTTCACACCAGTGAACTAGTGTGAGATCACACCGAGCTGCCAAAGGTATGGGTTATATTCCTCTTTGGGCCTCTATGCTCTTCCTGGACTCGGAGAAAACAAACAAATATTCTTCCCACCCTCCCACCCCCAATCTGCCTTTCTGTTAGGATCCAGCTCGAGACCCTCCTCCCTGCAGCTCTGCAGTTTCCTCAATGCTTGTGCCCCATGAATCCACAGCTTGTACAGTGCACACCCCAGTGGCTGGTTCCCTTCCTGACTCTTCCACTGCAGAGCTCCCCAGTGGTGTTCTAGAAACACTAATCTGCTGGCTCCCAAATGTCAATGTGCATCAGAATCACCAGGGGAGGGGAGCATTGGTGGTTTAACTTTAGTGCAGCTGGGGTAGTCCATGGAACATGCTTTTAGAAACACTGGATGTTAAAAAGAGTTCTATGGGGAAAACAAAGTTCAAAAAGGCTCCCTAGTCAGATGTTTGGGACACAGTTAAAAGACTGTTAAATAAATTACTTCATTGCAGAACTTCTCAGTGCCTTTATTGGTCTTAGATGGATGTTGGTTCTTCACGTAGGTGGCAATATAGTATGCAGTATTTCCCAAACTCCTTCGACCAGAAATCTACCCCATAGAGCATTTTGCAGGATTAGGGTTCCATGGAACTCACTTTGGGAAACAGTCACCTAACGCTCTCTACATTAACTCTCTTCCCCAATTAGTCTGTCACTCCCTTGACAGTAGGATCCCTAGCTTCACTTTTTTGTTGTACCTCCCTGCCCACCCATCCCCCACCCTAGCCTTGAGACCCAGCATCCTTCATTAAGTATTTTTTAGCAAGGACTCGGTGTCCAGGCACTAAGAGCTCTCCATAAAACCTCCCTGGCTTCTTTGAGAAGTCTCCCTGGCGACCACAGCTTTTCTCTGAGCCCCACCCCCTCCCTGGCCTGAGGTGACTCACCCCTGCCCCCCAGGTTGCTGCAACGCCAAGCTCCTGAGAAGCCTTATCAGAAACAATCGCTCTTTTCAGTGGATCGTTTTTAGCACTTAAACGCGGCTGAAGCCTTCACAACAGCCCCTTTTACTGGCAATTAGGGGGCCCCACGCCAGAGTGAACTGGGCTGTGCTCAGAACAGATCACAAAGGGATAATGAGCACTTTAAGCCATGTAGAAGAAGAAATGGAAACAGCCTGCCCACGGGCAGGGCTAACGCTGCTTCTGAGAGGGCCCCGCAGGGGACACAGCTGCCCCCAGCTCAGGGGAGGACAGGCTTCACACGATGACAACAGTAGACACAAACACAGCCCTCACTGACCGCCAGGCACCGTCTGAGCACTTCACGTGTGTTACAAGCCCAGGAAGCAGATGGTAGCATCACCCCATTTCATTGATGAGGAAACTGAGGCTCAGAGAATTTGCCTGTATTCACAGAGTTAGTTCCCAGGATGGGAATGCAGAGTGGCCCAGAGTTT